AATATTTTCTCCTGGTCAGTAGCCTGTAGTTGCATTTTCTTAGTAGTACCTTTTGCCAAGTAAAAGTTGTTACTTTTGATGGAGACCAGCTTTTCACTTTTTTCCTTAATGTGACATTCTTTGGGAGTCAAAGCTAAGAATTCCCTGTCTAACCCAAAGTCATAAAGATTTTTCTCCTCTGTTTTCTTCTAAAAGTTTTATAAGTTTATGTTCACTTTTGGATCTATGATCCATTTTCATTTGATTTTTAAAATAAGTTGTGAGTTCTAGGTTAACATTTTTTTTTTGCATATGGATATCTAGTCATTCCAGGACCACTTGTTTAAGACTATCACTTCTCCACATTATACAGTTTTTATTTTAAAAGAAAGAATGTGATTCTACCTAGCATGAGAACTCAGACATCTTCTATCATGAAAGGAGAAAATTCCTTCAACCCGTTGGCTCAGGAGTGGCTGAAAGAGAGAGTCCCCTTTGCTCAGAACACCACAATATTTGTTTTACTAGCAGTGTCATAAAACCAAACATATTTTATATATTGCTGGGATTTCTAGGTTGTTGAGGTTTTTTGTTTCATTGGTTGTGGGATTTTTTGTTTGTTTGTTTGTTTGTTTTGCCCAGCTTTTTAGAAGAAGTTTTAACTATGGGCATGAAAATTCTCTTTTGACAAATTGGACATATACTAAAACTTTACAATGAGAACAAAACTGAAGTTCATTTAGTCTAACTCTTCCTTTTTTAAATTACAAAAATAATACATGCTTGTAGTAAAATCTAAATACAGGTGACCCTTGAATAAAAGAGCTTGAACTGCATGGGTCCACTTAGCTGCAGATTTTTTTCAATAAATACAGTACAGTACTGAAAATGCATTTTCTTTTTCTTGCAATTTTCTTAACATTTCTCTAGCTTACTTCACTGTAATAATACAGCATGTAATAAATGTAACATACAAAATATGTGTTGACTACTTATCAGTAAGGCTTCTGGTCACTGGTAGGCTATTAGCAGTTACGTTTTTGGGGAGTCAGAATTTATACAAGGATTTTCAACTGCGGGGTCAGTCCCCTTAGCCCCCACATTGTTTAGAGGTCAAGTGTACTACAGAAATATCACCTAGGGAGTGGTTTCCTACTACTTCTCTGCTTCCTTTCATTGGTCCCTTCGATGCGCTTCTCTTCCTTTTTATGACCTCAGATGTTGGTGTACCCCAGGGCTCCAACCTTGGATCTCTTTATTTCTTTATTTCACTTGCTCTGTAGGTGGTGTCATTTAATCCTGTGGTTCTGTGAGCCACATCTACTCCCAGGAGTCAAGTTTGTGTCTCCAGCCTAAGTTCTTCTCTAAACTCCAGACTGGTATGTGTAGCTGCCTGTTCAGCACATCTACCATGTGTAACAGCAGCTTGTCTAGAACAGAAATCTTGGGGGCCCCTGGGTGGCTCAGTTGGTTCAGCATCTGCATTCAGCTCAGGTCATGATCTCAGGGTCCTGGGATCGAGTCCTGTATCGGGCTCCCTGCTTGGCAGGGAGCCTGCTTCTCCCTCTGCCTCTGCCCCTCCCCCTGCTTGTGCTCTCTCTCTCTCAAAATAAATAAAATCTTTAAAAAATAAATAAATAAAACAGAGATCTTGGTCTGCTCTTCGTCCCGTCTTTCCCTTCTTAGCAAATGGCACCGTCATTCCTCTGTGTGCCAAGGCCAAAAACCCAGACCTGACATGGCACTCTCTGTAGCTCAGACGGGACATTCAGCGCTTCCTCAGCCTCTTCGACCCCTCACTGGAAGGCACACACTGAATGGACCACCTCTCACTATGCAGCTGCTCCCTTGCTGGCTCAGGCCACAGTGGTGCCTGGTCTAGAAGGGTGCCTCGCCTCCCAGCTTGCGTCCCAGCTTCCACGCTCACCCCTGTGCTCAGTCCCCTGCACGGCAGCCACGGGGATCTTTAGGATGCAAAGTGTATCATGTCCTCCTCCAGCTCAGATCTCGCCAATGCTTTTATCACATTCTGAAGAAAATCCAAACTCTTTGCACTGGCCTTCAAGACCCTACGTGATCTGACTATGGCAGATTTCTCCACATTTTATTTCCTGTGACATTCCCCCCGCCCTGCTCACTCTGTCTTTTTGCTACTCTTTGAACACAAGACCATTCCCACTTTAGGGCTTTGCTTGAGCTGGTTCTCTGCCCCTGGGGTGCCCTTCCCAATGTTCTCCTCTCCCCTGAGTCACCTATCTGCTAGAATTGTTACCTCTTCCTTGCCTCCCCTCTTGGAAATGCTTGCTCCTCCTTACCTCCCCCATCTTCACAATCTTCTATGTTTTTCTTCATAGAATTTATCACGACCTGGCCTTATATACATATATCTGTTTGTTTGCTGTCTACCTTCCCAACTGAAACGTAAGCTTCCTGAAGGTGGGGACTTGATGTTATTCACTGCTCTTTCACCAACTTCTAGAACAGAGCACAGCCCATAGTAGATGCTCAATAAACATGTATGACAGGATTGAATACAGGATTAGAGTCATACATGTAGACTATTTTTCGCCCTACTTCACTCCCACGCCTTCTCTAGAGGTAATCACTGTTAATAGTTTGGTGACTAACTTCCTGGGCTTAAAAACAATACATTTATAAATGTGGGCACACATCCAGATTTTTTTTTATGGAATGCAAATTGTTCCATACCTTTATTTTCTCTCAATAATTTACTTTAGAATTTTTTTCCATTTTATTTTATTTTTCCATGTAATCTATCTATTTACATAGGTCTTCTTAGTGCTTACATTGTAGTTCATACTATAGAGGTACCACAGTTTTTTTAATCATTTTGTTGTAGCTATGTGGGTTGTTTTCCCTGTTTCACTATTATAATCAAGGCTGCAGTAAATATGCTTGTACATAAATCTTTGTGCATATGGGAAAATTGGTCTCAAATTATAGAATTGCCTGGTCAGTACTTTTCAGAGGTATTGCTTAGTTTGTCTTTCTAAAAGACTATACTGATTTACACTCTCACCAACAATATTGAGTACCCATTTCCCCATATCTTGGCCAGCACTAGATATTACCACACGTCCCAAATATTTTTTAACGTTAGGGGAAAAAAAAGTTTAACTCTCTTACAAAAGAGAAAGCCGAAACTCTGGTGATTAAAAACCTTATGGACAGGTAGATAACTAGCCGCTTCCTATACTGGTAAGCTCCTAAGCTTCTAGATGTTAAATTAGCCTGTTTCCTAAAGATAGTTCCTTTTTAAAAATGTCAGAATTAAAGGAATAAAGTGATTTGAGATGAGAACTACATTGTACCTGTAAAGAAGCTTTCAGATAGTGTTTTTAAGAAGTGACATTTCATAATGTATCGTGGGAGATCCCAAACCACAGGCCCAGGTATCCTCATTTTCTTGCTATAATTCATTCCCAGATGATTTTTTTTTTCCCCTCAAAAAGAATCCACCACACAAAACCTCAAGTGTTAGCATTGGCTGGAGAGTTAATGGAAGACGTAGCCATTGGTGATTTATTATTTAACAACTTTGTGGTTTGTACTGGGCTTTATGAGAAGGAGTCAAAGAACAAGAGAAGTTACCTGTTTTAATAACAATGACAGGGGCCCAAAACAGAAGCACGGAAATGAATAAGAAGAGAAATGCCAACCCAGAGGAGGGAAATACAACATACAAGTAGCAACCGGGTGTTTCTGTGACATGGGTTGGTTTTAACCCAGAGCTAGTGTGAGCATTGGTTGGCTCACAGGCTTGCCTTTGCCCTTGTAGTGAGCTATCAGGGCTGGGCTGAGTCTCGAAGGGCGACCCCTGAGTCTTCCCTATTTTCATCAGGTATCAAGATGGGCTTGGGATGAGAAGTACTTTTATGGCATCAGTATATTAGAGTTTGAAGAAGTCCTTGAAGTTACCTACTTTTTTTACTCGCTATAATGGATGGCAAGACTGAGGCCCAGAGAGAGAAAATGACTTACGTAGGTAATGATCATGACATTTTAAACACGATTCTATTGAATAACGAAAAGCAAGAGCTCTTGAACTTTAAAGACATAACAGAGTCTTGGACAGAAAAGTACTTCTGCCTGGAAATTCCTAAGGCAGGAGTGGCACATAACTAGCTTACATGCCACCATACACCCCCGCAAATGCCCACGGCAGACATCGGCAGTCAAACTCCGCTCCCTTTCCTCAGCCACGCTCTGACCCAGCCTGACGGTCCTCCTTCACACGGTGCTGTAGGCCGCAGGTCGTAATGGATCTGAGTTTTCATGTGAATTAAAATCGATTTCTGTTTGCTGTCCTCCCCCCCCCCCCAATTGATGTATCCATGTGATTCAGGATGTGATAAGAGCTCTAGACTTTAAGCCAGAAGAACTTGGTTTGACTCCTGGATCTTCTTACTCCTAGCTCTGTGATCTTAGGCAAGTCACTGAGCCTTTCACTTGGTCTTGTCTCCGAAATGAAGAAGTTGAATTAAATCATCTTTAAGCTTCCTTACAGCTCTGAAAAATGTCACCGATTCAAGGTCTGGAGACCTCTAACAGGAATTCATAGTTGCAACTATGTATTTTTATAAAGACCAGAGGGGGTTCTCAGGCAGTTTGTATATTACAAATCTATTCTCTATTCTTCAGTGTGGGTTTCTAGCTTTTTCTAACTACTTTTCATCTGCTCAGACTATTGACCCATATCTCTGAAGACAGAATTTAGGGGTTTAAAAGAGAGGGGGTGGGGACATACCCACTTAAAACCAGACAAATTTCAGGAACCTCTTCTTGGCTGCGGGGAGCTCGAATGTTGGCACACATCAGGCTGAGCACAGCTCACCGGCCCACCCAGCAGTTCTAGGTCCTCTTCCGCTTCTTCCATTCTACCTCCTTATGATCAGGAGGCCCCACCCATCCGACGGGTGTGGGCAAGTGGTCCTCTGAGTGCCCCTGGCTCCCTTCTACCCTGGCTCGTCTCATGACCTGCCGCCCTGTTTGTCTTCTAGGCCCCGCTTCCCTTCGGGCTTACCCTCTCCTCTCAGTGATCACCCGACAGCCCGCGGTCATCTCTCACCTGGTCCCCGCCCCCCCAGGAGCTGCCCAGGCCTTGTCCTGCCACCCGGCCTCCGAGGCCGCCTCTGCCGAGGCCCCAGGGGGCGAGGCTCTCGGCAGCAGCGAGTCGGAGCCGGAGCAGCCCACACCGCGGCAGAAGAAGCCCCGCCGGAGTCGTACCATCTTCACCGAGCTACAGCTCATGGGCCTGGAGAAGAAGTTCCAGAAGCAGAAGTACTTGTCCACCCCGGACAGGTGAGAACCCGGAAAGAGGACTGCCTGCAGGGAAGGCCCTGGGGGAAGGGGAGATGCGTTTTGCTCTCGGGGTGGGACGGAGAGCCACAAGGACTGTGTTAGAGAGAGGTTCCTCACGATGGCAGGAGTCTCGTGCGTGGCTTATGTAATCTCAGCCTGTTCGACAGCCCAGCCCACCTGCACGCATCACACTTAAGCCCTGGCTGTATCCCCATATTTAACTTAACTACTCCACCATAAGAAGCAAAGTCACGTTTAGTGTATGGTTGCCCAGGCTCTGAGCTGGAAAATAGGTTTGGGGTTTAAAGCCACTTACAGTAGGATCAGATGCAGTGTGGTTCACTGGGCGTTTGGGACCTGTGACCTTCTCAGGCTTCTCCCACCCTCCGACTGCCAGCTGGCTCAGGCTGCGGGCCTGGCTCTTGACTGGGAAGGCCTGGATTGATTCGGCTGAGGAGCTGTTAGATGTCCTGGTAAATTTGGTGGATATCAAGTCAGAACCACTTGGCTGAGAGACAAGCAAGACCCAGGTGTGAGTCCCTTCTTTAAATGCCTTTGAGAGCCAGATGAGGGGACTGTGACCCCTGACTTACTCAGAGGCCTTAATATCTCACCTTATTTCTTTAATTTAGTATCTTAACTACAAAATATGCAAGAATGTATCTTATCTTATTCCTTCAAACTCATTCTGGGGATCTGGCCAGAGATGGCTGGGCTAATATGTGATCCTCTTTGTTGGGAGGATTTTCCAGGTCCTTTTTCTGTTCTTTTGCTCACTTCCTTGTCTGTATTAGGTTTGTCTCTAGTCCTATTAGAGAGAAAGGGAAGGAAACTCACATGCATCTCTTAAGCTAGTTAGTAGCTGTTTGACCCAAATTTAAGAGAGAGAGAGGAGTATACAAATCACTGATCAAAGGGCATCTGTTTACTGATTCACTTAATCGAGCCCCCCATCAGCTGTGTGCTGGGGGTTTGCTGGGGGCCAGACACTGCGGCAGGGGCCGTGAGTCCAGAAAGTAGGAGACAAGAGTCCTGCTCTGGAGGAGATCCTAGGGAAGGACGGACAACAAGTACCCACAACACAGGGCACAGGTCCTGGTGCCAGTGTGTTTCCAAGGGCTGGAGGAGCCCAGAGACGTTGCTGAGTGTGTCAGATGGGGCTCAGGAAGGCATCTCAGAGGAGGCAACACTTAAGAAGAGCTTTGACTCCAGAGGGAATGGCCCACACAGGCACAGAAGCACATCTCACTGGGCACGTCGAGGGAACTGCAGGCGGTCATGATGTCTCCAGGCTAAGGGGCAAATGGGAGCCTGGCAGGAGATGAGGCTGGAGTTGGGAAGGCTCACATGCCTGGCCAAAGAATGCCGACTTTGTCTTCATCGACAGCCACTAAGAGCGGGAAGGGACGTGGCCAGATTTACATTTTAGACTCCTTGCTTTGGTGGCACCCTAAATGGTTGATTTGAGAGGGAAGCAATGGAGCAGGGGGTAGGAGGGAGCCCAGGGATCGTCACTGAAGACTGGAATTAAGGTGGTGACAGTGCGCACAGAGAAAGGGGAGTAGATTGGAGAAGAGTTTAGAAGGTGGAATGGACAGACTTGACACTGGCGTGAGGAAGAGAGAAGAGAGCTGGGAAATCTGCTCCTCCTGGATTGGGCCACAGCGTAGACAGGGATACCAGGACCAAAATTGTAAGGCAGAGGGCAGAGTGGGTTTGGTGGGGGAAAGAGTGAGTTCTGTTTGGACGTGAGCATCTGGGGAGCCTTTGGCCAGACGGTGGAGATGCGGCTGTGAATTGGGAATTGACAGAAGGGATCCCCAGTTACCAGGAGCTATTTTGGTGCGCCCAGGAGGTAATGGAGAGCCTCGGGGAGTTGGGCAGCCAGTGGAGGTGGGTGCCATTATTTATGACTTGCATGGTAGTACACCGAAAGGGCTTCAACAGGCCTGGGTAGAATTTTAGGCTTATTTTCTAGAAGTCAGAATGTTTTAACAGAAATGTTCATTCCTAATCAAGCTCCTGGGACTTCCTGATACCTGCCCAGGCACCTCTCAGGTGACCTACGCAGGACTGATTCACTTGCCTGGGGAGAAGGACACCATCTGGCTGGCATGGAAGCTGCCGCCTTAACCCGCCCTCTCCCATGTTCCTCATCTCCCTACGTGACCAGGGCCATGAGCACTCCCTCCTCCCACAGCTTTCTGCCTCTTCCCCTTTGTTTGTTTTTCCAGTTTCCTAGGTGACCCCATTTAAGCGAATATGCAGGGAAGTGAGAATTTGTAACGGTGGCAGGTAATGAGAGAAAGCTGATGACAGTGAAGCCCGTTTCTGTAGCCAGAGTGAGTCAGGGGTGCATTTTTCCCAAGTGAGCTAACACCATTTGCTAATGCAGTGGCAGAGCTGTGAACTGAGCCTGCCATTGACTAATGCACCTGATGGCCTCAGGTGAACCGGCCTGGAAGGCACAGTGGGAGCCTGGGAGACCAGAAGCCTGTGGGACAGCCCCCTGGGTTTTGGGTTCTTAATGAATGGCTGCTTGGGAAGCAGCGCTTCATTAGTGGGGAGAGCTAAGTGCTGTTGGCGCTGGGAATTTATTAGCTTCAGTGTGTTAATCACTTCGAGTAAAACTGTTAGCTTCCAGTAGCCCTTTTCCTAGGACAACCAGATATATGTGAATGCAGATGTAAGACAGGTTCTGAGGCTTTTTTGGAAGGAAGACTGTTTTTCTTATTGGAGATTTAAATCGTGTCCTCTGGTCAGAGCAGGGGGCTGAGCAGCCGCAGTGCCAACAATCAGCACCTGGAACCTTCACTGCCGATACCCACTGGCTTTGCTCACGTGGGACGTTGCTCAGCACTCCTTGGGGAGAGAAAGTTGAGGCCGAGAATGCACACCCGGGAGTCCCCGTGGCTCAGGCTTGTGGCTGTGAAGGTTTATGGGACCTAAGGGACCTCAGAGCCACAAACTGTAATGTTCAGACTTCTAGGACTTCGAAAGTGATGACCCCGTTCCCTGTAGCAAGGGTGCCCATCCTAGGTTGCTGCTCTAGAAATCCATGCTGCAGTGAGCAGGGTTGGAGCCACAGGGAGACCACTGACGTCGGCTCAGGGAGGTGGTCCTTCCAGTTGGTGCTCAGGTAGTAGACTTGGGGTTCTTCTCAATATAGGTCCATAGTTGTAGTCTTGAGGACTGAGTTTGGAATCCTGGTTCTCTTTCTCATATAATATGCTCCAATTGGGTTGTTCGCCTTTTCTCCTCAAAAACCAGAGCAAGAGCTTTGCTTTGACAGATTAAACTTGTGCAAAAATATGGTGGGTGGAGGGGAGCCCCCATACAGGCAGAGGTATACAAGCCAGATGTAAGTAGGTTTGCATCCCGGTCCACCTCCACTCTAGGATCATCTACCGGGGGTCAGCAAAGCTTTTCTTGTACGGGGCCAGAGAGAAAATAATTTCAGTCTCTGTCACAACCACTCACCTCCGAGGCTGGAGCAGGAAAGCAGCCGTGGACAGTACCAGACAAATGGGTGTCCGTGTTCCACCAAAAACTTTATTTACAAAACAGGCAGCAGACAGGATTTGGCCATGGTAACCGAGAGATTCTAATCTCTCCAAGCTTCAGATCTCTCATCCATAAAATGGGAATGATTATATCTACTTCCCAGCGTCATGAAAGGAATGAATAAGACAGCAGAGGTTGGGGGCTGAGCCTGGGGCCTGGGATGCCACGGTTCTCCGGAAACGGTTGCTGTGTTGTTGGAAGTAGCTCCAGCCTCACACTTCCCAGGAATGGCTTTGACATTCAGGACTTTTCAGAAGGCTGCAGAGAAATGCAGAACCACGGTGAGCAGTAGAATGGGAAGCAGGAGGGGCTACAGATTGAATGTTTCTTTTGGAACCCAACATTGTAACAGTTTAGGGCAACTACAGTGAATGAATCCATCCTTTGGAAAGTATTTTTGAGGCCTTGGTCTGGATTGAGAACCTGATAGGCACTTTTGTGGACAGAAAAGAAGCCCTTGCAGTTGAGTCAGGAAGGCAGAAAGTACTCGTGGGAAACAGAACCCTTGAGAACGTGGAGCCACCCAGGTGATGGCTGACCAGTGGGAGGGTCCAGAGGGTAGAAACTGTGGGAGGTGTCATGGGGGTGGGGAGCCTTCCCTGTAGGAGGGGTCTTGCGCTGCATCTGGGGTGATAAGCAGGATTTTGACAAGGATGGCAGGTCTTTACTTTTCCTTTCCAGTTTGGATTTGGGGGCAGAGTCCTCATTTTGTATGGGATCCCAGTAAAGACTCTGTCAGGTCAGAAAGAGGACTTTGCGATCAAGGCTGAGAAATCCTTTTCAGGTCCCGTGCAGACAGTGAATGTTTCTAGGTGATGGCCCCAGGTGTCCTTGGGTTATAGGCATCTGTTTCTTAGGTTCTCAGAGTTTCATCCATGAGATTCTTGGGGAAAGAACTGGTTTAATGGAGGAAGTCCACGCTTTGATAGCAGTGCCTGGAGCTGGTCCACAGGACCCCATCCCTGCTGTCCCTTTCCTCCTTCCTCATCCTTCCTTTGTATCTCACGCCTTCTAGGCTGGACTTGGCCCAGTCTCTGGGACTCACTCAACTGCAGGTGAAGACTTGGTATCAGAACCGCAGGATGAAGTGGAAGAAAATGGTAAGAAAGAAGAGAGTGAGTCTCACCGTGCCCCCATCATGAAAGGGAAAATTCTTACTCCAGGGCTGGGAAGAAGGCAGGAAGGACCATTGGTGGTTTGGGGTTCCAGAGAGTGGAAGGCCTTTTATGGTGCTGGCTGGCTGGGAGGGAGGTAGTTGGGGCAGTCAGATAAGCCATTCCTCCTGACCTGGATTTCCTGACCAGCAGGATATTCTTTTTCACAGTTTCCTTAGAAATAAAAGAAAGCCCACAAGCTTCTCTGTTGCTAGTTTTAACCCCACCTGCTAGCCTTTTCAAAGAACTTCCTTCCCCCTCCCACCAGTCACCAAGAATAGAAGTCAGGGCTGTTTGTTTATAATGACATATAAGGGCGCATCTGTTCCTGGGCTTCGGGTAGTGTAATGCAGGGATTGTCAAGCTTCGGTGGGTGTCAGAGGAACCTGGATTGCAGGTAAAAATGCAGAAGTCTAGGCTCTCCCAGGATCCTGAGTGCAGAGGTCCGTGACAGGGCAGGACAGAACACAAGGTGGTGTTCACAAGCTCCCAGGTTCCTCTGATGCACATGGTATCATGGACTAAGCTTTCCCTAATAACTGCTTTACTGCCTAGCTAATGAATCATTCCATCTTTGGTTTCTAAATGGACCTATTAGCATAAACAACTATCTCTCTCTAAAAAAAAAAAAAAAAAATAGACATCTCCATATTTTTTTTAATTTTTTTTTGAAGATTTTATTTATTCATTGGAGACACACAGATACAGAGGGAGAGAGAGAGAGCACGAGCAGGGGGAGAAGTAGGCTCCCCGCTGAGCCAGGAGCCAGACATGAGGCTCGATCCCAGGCCCCTGGGATCATGACCTGAGCCAAAGGCAGATGCTTAACCATCTGAGCCACCCAGGCGCCCCTAGACATCTCCATAATTTGAGGGACTCTGTTTCATAATAGTTCACTCTTTCTGAAAAAAGAGCAAATTTGAATAATCTGTTAAATCCATATTTTCCAAAGTGGTTGACGTGTTTCATTGCCAGTTTTGGAAACCACAAGGGAAAAGGTCAAAGCCCAGAGAAAAGAGGTGAGCTGGGAAAAGAGGGTGGGAAGCAGCCTGTTTCCTTGAGAGACCAGGTACACGATGGCCTGTGCCCTGAGACTTCCTCACACCCTCACCGAACCTTAATGGTCCTTTTTCCTCTTGTACGGACCAGGCGGTCCAGACCTGCTTGGATGACACTCTAATTTGCTAACCCATCTGGCCACAGGCCATCTTTCCTGGTGTTCAAGGGCTGGAATATGATTTTTTTTTTTTTTTTACAATTACTGGAACTGAGGTCCTTCTTCCATCCCTAGTTTTCAGGAAAACAGGTAAGTTAATAGATACTTTTAATAGCTAATAGATATGGGTGCCTGGGTGGCTAAGTCAGTTAAGCATCTGCCTTCGGCTCAGGTCATGATCCCAAGGTCTTGGAATCGAGTCCTGCCTGCACTGTGCTCCTTGCTCAGCGGGGAGTCTCATTCTCCCTCTGTCACTCCCCCGTTCCTTCTCTCTCTTACTCTTTCTCAAAGTCTTTAAAAGAAAATAGCTAATAGATATGGAGACATTTTCTCAATTTTGTGTTTTTGTCTAATAATTTTTTTCTGAAAACGTTAGTTCTTGCTGTTGCCTACTAACAATGAGAAAAATAAATACGTTGTAAATTAATATCGATGGCAACATTTTTTTTAAAAGCCAGCGAGGCAGTGTGTATTATATTCCCAAAAGGGAATTCCTGGGCAAATCTCATAATTTCCTCTGGGGGGACCTGAGCCTGCGAGGGAAGGATGTTCAGGTGGAGGCGGCGTGGCTCACGGAGTGCTTACAAAGTGAGGCCGGGATGTCAGTACAAACACATATACCGGATGAATCCACAGATGTGTATTAGCATCTCTTGTGAACGGTGCCTTATTCTGGGCACTGTAGGAAGTAATGAAATGAGATAGAAACCTGCCTTCATGGCATTTGTGATCTTGTTGGAGAATCAAGGTCCAGAAAGCAGCCAGGGCTGCTTTGAATTGTAATTATTGTAGGTGTATAAGTCCGGAAATGTTCAGGGGATGGGTATTTGAGAAAGGTGTAGGGAGACGTTGAAGGATAAATGGGATTCGATTAAATATGTAGTCGTTCCAAAACCTCCAGAATGCTACAGACACATGAAAATGATGGCGAAGGGATGCCTGGGTGGCTCAGTCGGTTAAGCGTCTGCCTTCGGCTCAGGTCATGGTCCCAGGGTCCTGGGATCGAGCCCCGCATCGGGCTCCCTGCTCAGTGGGGAGCCTGCTTCTCCCTCTGCCGGCCGCTCCCCCTGCTTGTCCGCGTGCCCACACTCACTCTGTCTCTGATAAACAAATAAATGAAATCTTTGATAAACAAAAAGAGAGAAAGAAAAGAAAAGAAGAAAATGATGGCAGAAACCTCCCGGGGAACTGATCTCAGAAAGAACCAGATCGGGGAGTTAGAAACTCTGGGCGAGTTCCCATGCCTGTCCCTCCCTGGCTGACTTTGGACTTGGGCAAGTCCGCCACCCACCTCCTTCCTCGTCAATCATCATCATCAAGGTCTCCTGAGTGGCAGAGGCATTGTTGAAATCGGTTATCAGCGATCTCTTCATGAGTCAGACGATTAAGGAATTGACAGCCTGCCATCCCTGTCAGCACCACACCACCCGATGCCCGTGGGACGAGCGTGTGCCTTCGCCCCTGACGTTACCTGTTGTTCACCAGCCACTGGGCCGGTGGCACAAGTGGGAGCGCTGGGTATTGAGGGTCATCCACGTCGCATAAAGCAACATGGAGTCAGTTAGCAGATTTAACCTCAGAGAGCATTCCACGGGCCGACCAAATTTAGGTCCCTTGGGGAGGCGGGAGTGCCAAGCTCTCTGTCCACTCTAGCAGTCAAATGTTGAGCCTAGGAATGGAGCACCAGGTGACGGAGATGCCAAGATAAGTCACAAACCTGTCCATTACAAAATAAAATAAGAAAAAAGTACTCCATCAGGTGGGAGGAGACCGCCCTGTGAAACTAGTAATTATTCAGAGGGATCAGGGCCACAGTGGGATTTACTGGGTTCAGAATCAGGATAGAGAAAGGGAGGGCTTCATGGAAGAGGTGCTGTCTAAATTGGTCTCAGTGGATGAATAGAAGTATGCCAAGCAAAGGTGAGGAGGGTGTCACGGGCAGAAGGAAGGAGCTGGAGCACCTGGGGCACTTTGAACGACTTCAGAATGGCCAGAGCTAAAAATGGGAGGGTGCCGGTTCCGTTGCAGGTCTGAATTCTGACTCCCCCAGAACAGCGAGGCATTGTTGGGATCCTGATTGCCTCATGTGTTTTCCTGGTAGAACTCTTTCAAGGCTATCTCTTCAAGTACTGGGAGGAAAAGAAAAAGCTAATTGGGTAATAAAGATGTCTCAAGGCTAGTCACCTAATTGGAACTGGAAAAAGATTAGCACTTGATTCTCAAGAGTTACTCACACGGCAGCCAAGGAGAGCACTGCCAGAGGCCAGATAGCATCTTGGACTAGTTTTTACCGGTCAGCATTTGTAACCTATAGCGGGTTGGGTAAATTTAATCTTGCACACGAGGTGGGATGCTCACCCTCTATTCCATTTCTGTTTGGCTTGAGTTCCAGGAGGACCCAGAGTTTTGCAACAGGCTGAAAGTGCCTCATTGTTCAGAGATCTCTTTCAGCTCTAAAACCTAGTTCCATGAGAGGATCCAAATGGATACCACCCTCCTGCCCGGTCACAGAATTGGGGGGGTGGTGCCACATACCATGCACCATCATCATCTTTGGCACTGCAGATCTCCAGATGGTCAACAATTCCATGAAATGTCCAATGGTTACTATCTATGTGATCTTGAGCAGGTTACTTAACCTCTGTGGGCCTGTTTTCTCATTAGTAAAATTCCTCATACATATGTGTACCTCATAGGTGCTAACTGAGCTCATCCCTGTACGAGCCTTTGCACAGTGCTTGCTGCGTAGAGCGCAGCTGAGAAGTGTTAGCCGCCATCCTATTCCTCTTCCAGTATTATTATTATTATTATTATTATTATTATTATTATTTACCTGGCCATGTCTCCAGAGAATCCACAGTTTGGGAGGCCCGAAGACATACAGACAGAAAATGAATTCTATAGGTTTCTGGGGCCCTGAACCTTTCTTCTGGGTGAGAACAATCCTGGCTGTTTGTTCTTGCTCGTTCCTCACTTGCCGGGCCTTCTCCCACTCAGTGCCTTAGCATGTGGGGCCCCGTCCGAGATAGCACTGCATCTCCAGGCAGAGAAAGGCTGCCGAACAGGGTGCTGGGAAGAGATTTGTGCCGGAGAATCCGAACTTGCTTCTCAGCTTCGTGGAAATAGTCATCGGTTGATCCAGCTCTCCCTGCTCCAGAGAGCCGCAGATGAAGACCGAGAAAAAGGGGCAGAAAGCACCCCCTAGTGAAGGAGTCCGTTACCCAGCGTCTGCCGGGAGACCGGGGGACTGCAGATCAGTATTAGAATCAGAAAACACGGTGGCACATGTGACGCATCCCTCGCTCGTTATGCACGATGAGATCCGGGTAAGAGCGTTAGATTCAAGTGGGCAAGGTTGTGTGTTCAAATCCCAGCCCTGCCCTTGGCTTTGCTCTTGGACCATGACAAACTACCTCTGCCTGCTCGGTTTCCTTTCTCAGTAATGGGGGAGGCCAGAAGCTTCCTCCCTGCACTGACAGTCCATGCTCTGCTGTCAGACTGCCTGTCTCCCAACTGAGCACCTTGGGAAGGAAACAGGCTTGTCCTGACTTCTTCAGCAACAGAACATTTGAATATCTAGTTTAAGGGTTTGGGGGGCGGTGGTGGGGGGGCTCTGCAGCTGGCAGCAAGCACAGCCAATAGAAGTAGACGGTGTCTAGCTGTTTTTCCGAGAGGCATGTGACCTCAGGTGCTGCAGTGGGTTGTCTGGACTTCCCCAAGCAAGGGGACTAAATTGGCTTTAGGAATAATTGGGCAGGAGGGATCCCGGGAGGAGGGCCACGGGGTGCATGAGAATGCGCAGTTCCTGGCATGGGGCGGTTGTGAGATAATTGCATGTTTCAGGTGTGCTGGGAGGCAAGGGGCCAGAGGTCGAGCGCGGGAAGCAGCCAAGAGGGTAGTTATCTCCTAATTATTCTTTGCGCTGGAATGTTTTATTCCATTTAGAAAATGGTCTGATTGTTTTGATTTTTTTTTTTTTTGCCCGGTAGGAAAACAGCCAGGTGGGGTCTATCCAAGCTGTGTGGGTGGTGTTCGCTAATTGCTGGGCTGGACTTTCTTTTGCCAATTAGGTGGCTTCCTTAGACCTGCCCTTTTATAACTTGATTACTATATGGGGCAACTTAATTTTGCAGAACCTCTTTCATACCAAGTGGAGCTGCTTTCAACATGTAAATTCCATCCTGGCACATCTGGGCACTCTCAACAGCCTGCACTCAGACTGAAATAAAAATCAGATGCTGACTTATGTGAAAAGGAATATAGGGCCTCCTTCTCCCCAGAGGTGGATTCTGTCAGCATCTATACCTTGTTAGAGGTCCCCTTCATATTTGCGTGTTAGCTGTGCGTGTGCAAAGTGCGGTGGCTGAGCAGATTCCCAGCTAAAAGGAGATGGTTTTGAGAGCTTATGGGTTTCCTCACACCTTATACAAAAAATAACTCACAGTGAACCATAGACCTACATGTAAAAGCTAGAACTGTAAAACTCTTAGAAGAAAATTTAAGAGTAAATATTCATGGCCTTGGATTCGGCAAAATTCTCTGAGCACACCAAAAGCACAAGCAACAAAAGAGAAAATAAATTGGACTTCATCAGAACTAAAAACATTTGTGCTGTGAATGACATCACCAAGAAAAGGAAAAGACAACACACAGAATGGGAGAACACCTTTGCAAATCTTGTATCTGATGATGGACTTGTATCCAGAATGTGTATAAAAAACTCTTATGACTCAACAATAATAAGATAACCGAATTTTCAAATGGGCAAAGGATTTGAATAGATACCTATCTAAAGAAGACATATGGCTGGCCCATAAGCACAGGAAAAGATGCTCATCTTCATTAGTCATCAGGGAAATGGAACTCACAAGCACGGGGTACCACTTCCTACCCACTAGCATGGCTGTAATCAGAAAGACGTACCATCAGGTATTGGGGAGGATATGGAGAACTGGAACCCTCATAAACTGCTGACTGGAACATGGTGCTGTCGCTTTGGCAAACAGTCTGGAAGGTCCTCGAAAAAAGACAGAGTTACCATATGACCCAGCAATTCCAGTTGTAGGGATACACCCAAAAGAAGTGAACAGATGTTTCTATATTCCTCTTCACAGCAGCACTATTCACAACAACCAAAAGGTAGCAGCAACCCAAGTGTCTCTCAGCTGATGATTGGGTAAAGGGAATGTGGTATATTCCTACAATGGCTATTAGTTGGCCATAAAAAGGAATTGAAATACTGATATAGGCTACAACATGGATGACCCTTGAAAGCACCATGCTGAGTGGAAAGAAGCCAGTCGCAAAGGATAACATATTGTATAACTCGATTCATATTAAATGGCCGGAATAGGCAAATCTGTAGAGACAGAAGGCAGATGTATGGTTGCCTAGGCTTGGGGGGCAAGGCCTGGGGCAAAATACGGGTGGCTGTTAATGGGTGTGGGGTTCATTTTTGGGGGTGATGAAAATGTTCTAAAATTGGATTCTGGTGATAGTTGTACAATTCTGACTCCTCAAAATCACTATATCGTCACTATGATGGGTGGAGTGTATGGTATGTGAATTATATCTCAATAAAGCTGTTTGAAAAAAGAACTTTTGGCTTATTGAGTTACTGCCTGCCATTACTACAGTTCAGCACCCGGAGGTCCTGTTCTCTTGAAGGAAAGAGATGTAACCGATAAGTATTTAGTGACGGAGTAGAGTCAGTTGAAAGTTATTTGTCTGGAGCATGAAGCAAGGGATAGTTGCAAGATTTACCTTCAAGGAACTTCTGTTCAACTATGGAAGATAAGATTAAGCGGGTTATGTAAGTAGCAAAAGCACATTTCACTCCTAATTATCTGTGCTAATCCAGGTCCTCCTGAAGCCCTTCTCACCAGCTGCCCAGAAAAGCCACAAGGGCAGCAAGTCAGAGTTCAGAGCCAGTGGAAGAAGGCACTGTCTGTGATACTCTAAAGTAACCTATACATATTTTTAAAGTTCTCCCTTCGTAAGTCACAGTATTCTCGTGGACATCACACACTGGGATAATAAATGTTCAAGTCCTTTGAGATGAGCAAGGGCTATTTGGGACACTGTTACTTTGCTTGCTTTGTACCTTTCTTCACCTCCAGGGAAAGGCTCATTGTTCAATACCACTTGGTGAATGCCTGCTACGTACAGGGGCTGAGTGGGAGGGGCAGGCAAGTACACATGCAGGGACAGTGGTTTGTGACAAGTGCTCTAATGGAGGAAATGTAAGAGCTCATCGTGCACACGGTCGAGGGCCTCTGACTCTGACGTGGACCTGGGAGGTCTAAGTGGAATGCACCAGGTGAGGAAGGTGGGAGGCCTGTTCTGCACAGCAGAAAGAGTTCTTGCTCTCTTGTATACATTATATCTGTTGGTCACCCTCTAAGAAGCAGCTGCTAAGGAGCAGAATTAGAATTTAACTTAGTGATTCGACTTTCAAAGCTAGCTGGAACTTTGTATTCTCTACTCGGTCTTTGAACCATTCAGTTGTATGTTCCTTATAATATTTTTTCTGATTACAGAAATACTTACACATGATCATTGTACCAAAAAATTAGAGAATACAAAAAAGAAAAAAAATTTAAAAATTCTCCGTGATCTTGACACTGCGAATAGGTTGTCTGTCCTCCAGATTGGGTTATGCTGGTTTATAACCTGCTTTCCACAAAAGTACATTAATGATATTTCCCATGTTATTAAACATTCTCCTACGTGATGATTGTAATGGTTATCAAGTATTCTCTTTTTGGGATATACTATAATTATCTACCCAATCATATAGCAAAAGTTTATTTTCCCCCCAGTTTTCGCTGTTAGAACCAATTTTTTAATGAACATTTTTGCAAATCAATCTATCTCAGTCTTTGATGATTTACTTAGGCTAAATTATTAGAAGTGGAATTTCTGTGTCAGAGTATGCACATATTAAGACTTTTGATTCGAATTCTCAGATTGCCTCTTGAGAAGGTTGTACCAGTCACCCTTCCACACGATTTATTTTCCTGCTTGCTACAAATACTGTCTTTTTAACTTGTCAACTTGATAGATAATGCATTAATATTTTAATTTTTATTTCTTTCCATACTGTTGAAGTTGGATTTTTTTAATGTGTTTGTGATCATTTTATTTAAAGCCGAAATATGTGATACTTGCTGAAAGTGCACTGAACATTTAAAGAATGAAGATGTCTTGGGGCACCTGGGTGGCTCAGTCAGTTAAGTGTCCGACTTTTGCTTAGGTCATGACCTTGGGGTCCTGGGATTGAGCCCTGAGTCGTTGGGCTCCATGCTCAGCGGGGAGTCTGCTTCTCCCTCTCCCTTTGGCCCTCCACCATTTGTGCTCGTGCACGCATGTGCTCACTCTCTCTCTCTTTCAAATAAGTAAATAAAATTTTTTGAAAAATGTCACCTTAAAATAATAATAATAGTAATAATAATAAAGAATGAAGATGTCTTTATACTCTAGAGATGATGGGTTGAAAATACCTTTTGGCAGACTATCACTGCTGGGAAGGAACGGTATAGACACTGTTGAGTGGGAAAGTGGAGGGAGGGAGTTATTTATTAGACTTAATGACTTTTTTCTCCCACACAGGTTCTTAAAGGTGGACAGGAAGCACCTACAAAACCCAAAGGTCGTCCCAAGAAGAACTCCATCCCCACATCAGAAGAGATCGAAGCTGAAGAGAAGATGAACAGCCAGGCCCGGAGCCAGGAGCGCTTTGCACCCTCCCAGAGACAGGAGGAGCTCTGTGACCCACAGGAACCAAAAGCATGCGATGTCCCCTTAGAGGTGGCAGAGCCCCCCGGCCAGCCCCAGGAGTTGCCAGTAGCCTCTTCGGAACCCCCACCATCAAGCTAAAATAAAAACTCTTTTGGGGGAAGGGGGAGACGGGGAGGAATGGAAAGAGGGAAGTCAGGGAGAATAGGGAGAGATCCGCTTCCCAAACCCTGGTAAACTTGGGGAGAAGAGATCCACGTCTCCCAACCCCCACGGGTCTCAGTGGTTTTCATCATAAGCATTTGACGAAGACTTGCTTGCCTTAGGCCTTTCTCTTCCTGAAAGGCTGCTTTAGCCACGGGATGCCCTTGATGAAGGGAGACAGTGCCTTGGAACTGCCTGCCCCTGCTGGGGTGAGGGCTGTGGGGCCCGCACCCCCCTGGTGCTGGTGAAGGACTGGCCCGGGCTCTCTCCCTCCAGCCCCTGGGCAGCCAGTCATCAAAGCAGAGAGATCATGGAGGAGCCTGGGCAGCAGGCCTGGCTTCCTTGCTGACTCAGCACTTATTTCTGTAGTTTTAAAAGAGAATTTAATGTTTTTGGTTGTTGTTTTTTTTTGGGGGGGGTGGGGTAGGGTGGGGCCGGTGAGGGTGGGCAAAGAAGAGTTGGGGGAAGCGAGTTCTGAGTTATTAGAATTGTTTCTGAATAAAGTTCCTTTGAAGACACGTGTGCCTTTGTACCCATTATAAGATGGTTAGGTGACCCAAGAACTGAGAAGCTTTGGTTTTCTTGCTTTATTGAGTTGCCATCCCTGAAACTGCAAAGCAGATTATGTTAAGATAACTTTTATTTTTTAATTAAAGATAAATCTTTCAAAAGGATTGGGTGTTTTGTGTCTTCTGGGGAGTATATTTAGCCCTGTCTGTATACGTCTTACGGAAAGACCCAGAGAGATAGCCCGGCTCCCTGGGCTTTCATTTCCCCCGCTATAAAATAAAAGATTGGTCTCTGCCCACCACCCCTCCCACCACCTTCTGCCAGAGCAGCTCTGTCGTCAGCCACTTTCCATTGTGGGCTTCCAGCTTTAAAAACGGCTTCACTTTTTTGTAAGAGATAATAAATACATGTGCTTCAAAAGTCAAACAAAAAGAAGTGTTGCTTTTCCCACCTACTCCCTTCCCTCTGCCCTCCCCTAGCCTGCACAGGTAACCATTTTTTACGGGCTTCTTGTTTATCAAGTATCCATTTGGATGATGGGCTCTGCGCCTTTTAACAAAAGATTTGAGAGCTTCTTGGCTAGAGGTGCTCTGCGATTTTAAATTTAAAACCATGTCCCACTTTCAGGAAGAACAGGAAAGAGGGAGGCTCCAGACTCACTCAAGTAGGAACTCGGACCCTTTCTTGTCTGGTGGTCGTGCCCGTGGACCCCGAGGCCTGAACCCACAGAGGTCCTCTTTCTCAGCATTGATGTCCTGCCCACTGACAGTTATTGATTATGGGGTAACTCTGCCCTGTTGCGGGTTTTGGAAACATCTACCTGCTTTTGTAATGGCCGCAACTAGGGAGCAAAATCTGTTGCTAGTTCTGTAAACAACTCATGTAATTCTTTGGAAACTTACACACGAAATGATCTGCTTGTTTTCAACCATGGCTCCTGCTTCCCTCCATTAACACTGCCAATCACAGTGACTGCGATAGCGCCTTCATTCCCTCTGCTCTTGAGATCAGCACAAAGAAAGCTGTCTTTTTCTTACCTCTTGTGAACAAAGGAGCTAAGGATTGGGCCTCCAAGAACCAGTTTGTGCAGACCACACCCAGCTGTGTTCGAGGTTTCTGGTGCTATGCAGGCGAAAAGCTGCCTCCTGCATCTCTAGCCCACCCCCTGGGGACAGTTTTATGGTCTGCCTACTAAGCAGTGCCTTAATGAGCCCAAGTGTACCCCTGGCCACATAAGCAGGTGGGTCTGTGCCAGTCTGGGCTCACTCCTAAGGAACTGCTCTGTCCTCTTCAGCCCCGCCCCAGAGAGGCTTTTCACTGATGCTGGCTTCCTGTGGCGGTTTTCAGTCTCTTGTCATGGGCTCTTGTACCGCCCCCCTCTGAGGTGTCTGACGGTGGCTGTGTCACACACACATAGTTTTCCTGAGCTAGGGTTCTGGACTCTGTTTCTGACGTGCGGCCCTTAGCCATTGGCCTGTCATCTATAGTGCTTCCAGGGATTGGAGGTATTTCAGTGCATGGTCTCAGACCTCCCCTGATCTTTCCCGCTGTTTTGGAAGCCCTGAGCCCAAGGGCACCTCCACTTGGGAGCCCTGGGCTTGTCCTCTGGCTTCAGCTCTGTGTAGCCTTGCTCTGGCACCCCAGGAGGGGTGAGGGCTGGGCCTCGGGAATGTGAGTGGGCATCGATTCCGCACCAAGCCCTGCTCGCCCTCCGCCTTTCCCTTTTCCCTCCTGTCTTCCCAACTTCCCTCTACTTCCCACGACATGTGATGGCACCCAGAAACCAAGCTCCACAGGGTGTCTTTGAGTTGTGCATAGGAGGTCACGTTGTGCAGTCTGGAGCAGGGCTATTCAGGGACCTCTGACCCCAGGGTTTCCCTGCCCCAAGCCCAGTCTGCTCACTTTCTCTGCTCCTTTCTAGGAGGCCTCTCTCTGGACCTGAGCTCAACTCTGTGGGCCTCACTAAACAAAAGCATTCTTGCCCTTGCTTGGCATCCAGGATGGTGACCCCGTGAGGGTTCAGGGTCTTATTGTAGGGTCTGGTCATTTGATGCTTTCTGAAGTTTTCCAGAGGAAGGGAGCGAGCCGAAGCCAACTGCCCACACAGGGAAGCTGACCACTGAGACCTTGCAACACCCCCCCCTTTTTTTTTTTGTAGCGTCTCTGCTCTGAGCATTGGAGAATGCTTTTATGAGCACTTTTAGCTGATGCCTCCCCCTCGGGCTGTGAAATGGGCTGTTTCTTCCAGTTTTATAGGAAGCCTGTTAACCAGAGAGAAGTTGGCTCTCCGTGGGTCAGGTAGCTGGTCAGGAGCCATGCTGAGAACCAAGCCCAGGCCAGGTTCCCTGCGGGGACCTTCAAGGTAAGCACTAGCACACTGTCCCTCCCAAGGCGGCAGGGGGGTGAGGGAGTTGGGGGGCTTTTAGCAGCGGTCTGCCGCACGTGTCAGCTTTGTCCTAGGCGGGGATTGGGGGTGGGGAGCTTTCCTGGCTACAGGTGAGGCTACCAGGAACCACTGCCTCTGCTCCCCCCCTTTGTATCCTTTATCTAGCTATCATCTATCTATCTATCTATCTATCTATCTATCTATCTATCTATCTATCATCTTTTAAGATTTTATTTATTTACTTTAAGATTTTATTTATTTATTTGACAGAGAGAGAGAGCACAAGCAGGGGGAGCAGCAGAGAGAGAGGGAGAAGCAGGCCTCCCACGGAGCAGAGAGCCCAATGCGGGGCTTGATCCCAGGACCCCAGGATCATGACCTGAGCTGAAGGCAGACACCTAACCGACTGAGCCACCCAGGTGCCTCCCCCACCCCCCGCATCTTTTATGTTAGAGAGCAAGGATTCCTGGAGCAGGTTCTAGGCTCCCAGTAAGCATCGAAGTGTGTGTGCCTAACAATGGGTTTGTGTTCTGGGTCACCGTACCCTCTGACTTGCTTGTCCAGAGTCTGCAAGGGTTGATTGAGAAACAACACTCAGCCCTAGCTTGACTCAAACAATAACCAAATGGGTCTCCTGCTGGGAGCCTGTAGTCCTCAGACTAGTCTGAACAGATCCATCAGACACCAACCCTCACTAGGCTGGTTTTCAGTTTCTCTCAGAGACGAGTCAGTTCTAAAGCTGCCTTAGAGAAGGGGTCTGGGGAACTCTGTGAGCCCCTCTTCCCTTCCCCAGGCGCTTAGAGTTCCCTGTCCTCCTCACGACCTTTCAACTTCACGCCACCCGCCCTATGCCCTGGGCTGGGCTGGGCTAGCACTCCACTGCAGGGGATCAAGCGCTTTCCTCAATAGGTTGTGCTTCATCAGCCTGGTCACGTGTTGTTCACTCAGCAGAAAAGGAGCAGGGACTTCGAAGGACCAGATTAAAGCTTGTCCCAAGGGGTTCTCCCCCATCTCCCCCCTGCCTGGGCCAGCTGCCAGGTCACTGCCTGATCCTCCAGCCATTTTCCATAGGTGCTGCCTAAATCTTGCCCCCTATCATGTCGGAAGGATCTTTGAAGGGCAGGAACTATTGGGTTAGAGGGTTGAAATGTGCTTTGCAAAAAAAAAAAAAAAAAAAAAAAAGCAAACTTGTTTCTCAGGATTTCTGTGCACTGAGTTGCTTATGTTTGCCTAAGCCCTGAGGAGCTGCCGTGGCTCTTTGTCTGAATAGGCACCCCTCGCCGCCGTCACCACTCTTCTCCGTTGTGTTGCCTTGTATTGCATCTTCCACGAGAGACGCCACCTTCCTCTCTTTCAGTGGCACTCCAAGGGGCTGCACCCTAGCCTTCTTCATGCCCAGGAGACAGCATCCTCTCTCCGACCTGCCTTGGCTCCCCTCTCCTTTACCCTTCTCAGCCACTTCTTCCTGTTCCTTATTAACCTCACCTCCTCTCCAGTCTAACCTGTTCATTCCTCTCCACCTCTCCCTCTTAATGCACCTTTTGTCGTTAACACCATGGGCCTGCCATCTTTCCAAAGAGGACATGGATTAGTTTTGTTTCCCTATTAAGAGCCTAAATTCCTTAAGGTTGTTTTTCAGTTTATGTGTTCTGAGTTCCTTTTTCTGTGCTCAGGGCTCCAAAGGTCCACGAGTAGGCAATGAGAGGATCCGGATGCTCCTGGTCTCCTGTTGACGTCTTTCTTGGAGGCCCAGATGTTTTGAGTTCTCAGCAGTATGGTGGGTACAGCCCACTGTCATGAAGCCTTGAGGCCCCAAATCATGAAGCAATTCTCCTGGTCATTGGCCATTGTTAGAGCCACACTCAGTGGCTACAGGGCTTGGGCCTGCCAGTACTTTCCAGAGTCAAGAGGGAAGGCGGAGCAAAAGATCTTTGTTGTCCGTGGAAACATTCCCATCACCCACGGGAAGCAATGCTGGGCCCATTTCCCCAGAGCCAAAGAAGGCAAAGGATGACGAGGAACCCAGATTTGAAGACCCTCATGGCTAAGGATCAATCCCCCCATCCCAC